CAATAATCGTGTGGAGATTAGTTAATGTTATACAATATGTTATATAGTGAATTAGTGTGTGTAAGGTGTAAGGTGAAGTGGACCAGTGGATATTAAACATATTGATAAACAGTGTTGAATAGATTTTAATAGACTTGGATGCATGACTAACTGTTGATACAATTGATAATAGTGTAATGCAGTAAATAATGATGAGTTTGGGGTGTTGAATAGAATGAATGAGTCGGTGTAATATAGTAGATAATTGTGAATGTAAGTGTTGTTGAATAACTGAAATGGTTGATTGAACATAGTGTTATATAGTGTATGAATTGTATCACAATACTGATCGATAGTATATGAATGGTTGTGATGAATGATATTTGTATATGATTGATTGGAAGTGTGTAGTTGATTGTGAATGGTTAGATATATATTTTGTTATGGATTAAAGGGAGGACTGTGAGACCTCCCCACTGACAAAAACTACACGCCCGAGCGCACCCGATTAGGGTTCGTCGCGAGTTTCAACCCACCGAGGTGCAATGGTGAGCCTCCACCCGGGGTCAGAGCATTCCTGATCACCCTGAACCCGGCGCCAGGTAAGTTTAAGTACTAGTTAATAGCCTGTCGCTCGATCATTCTCAACAACATTGCAATAAATTCACTCTCTGCAAATTAACACTGCATTCCCAATCAAAACATTCACTTCAACAACATTTTAAACATTCAACTAGCTACAAGTTAAGCGCACAACATTATTTCATATATACAGTAAACCAGATTGTAGTAGACTTGTCACTATGTCCATTTCCTTGTTGGTAGACTCTACACGTTATATACTACTCAATATATCTGATAGTTAATTCAGTAGGCTGAAAGTGAAAATCACACACATGATCGCTTAAACCGTTTCGAAACAATCATTGATCGAATGTTGCACACAGGATCTCTTACTTTCTCTTCCCTTCTCTTTCTATACAGTATATAATTCGGTCACTGACAAAACACCATCTAATTCACTTTGATTTGCACTGACACGCTCATTCATTCAGTAAATTATGAAAAGATTCATGCTCATTGTGACATTCGGATACACGATAGTCTAACACTGAATTCATCTAGATTTATTATCTTGACGAAACACAGAAATTAGACAGTGATTAAAATAGCAATAATCGTGTGGAGATTAGTTAATGTTATACAATATGTTATATAGTGAATTAGTGTGTGTAAGGTGTAAGGTGAAGTGGACCAGTGGATATTAAACATATTGATAAACAGTGTTGAATAGATTTTAATAGACTTGGATGCATGACTAACTGTTGATACAATTGATAATAGTGTAATGCAGTAAATAATGATGAGTTTGGGGTGTTGAATAGAATGAATGAGTCGGTGTAATATAGTAGATAATTGTGAATGTAAGTGTTGTTGAATAACTGAAATGGTTGATTGAACATAGTGTTATATAGTGTATGAATTGTATCACAATACTGATCGATAGTATATGAATGGTTGTGATGAATGATATTTGTATATGATTGATTGGAAGTGTGTAGTTGATTGTGAATGGTTAGATATATATTTTGTTATGGATTAAAGGGAGGACTGTGAGACCTCCCCACTGACAAAAACTACACGCCCGAGCGCACCCGATTAGGGTTCGTCGCGAGTTTCAACCCACCGAGGTGCAATGGTGAGCCTCCACCCGGGGTCATATCATTCCTGATTAACCTGTACCCGGAATTTTCATTTTAATCTTCAGGTTATTTCTGGCATTATCTTTAGGTACTTGCAGAACTCCGACAACCCTCATTAGAAGAATACAAGTCTTTGCAATCAATTGTCTACACAATATACCCATTGTCTATCAGAGGAATTCCATTCGCATCAGCCTACTCTGGCAGTGAACAAACCAACTTCCGGCTGAATAGGAAGTTAGAAAAACACTGTAGTTGGGTAGGACAAACATTAAAGAGTGGAGGGCACTTAGATGGAATCCTGAAGTTAAAAGTAAAAGAGGGAGACCAATGAATGCATCGCACACGGAACTGGGAGCAGACATCAAAAGAGTAAATAGCAGTTGGAACCAACTGGAAAGGAGAGCTCGTTACATCGTCGGTGGCCTATGCTCGAAGAGAGGTAACAGGTGTAAATAAATAAGAGACGAATATTAGGTTATGAATAAGTGAAAACAATGGAGTATAGCTTTCGACTTATCAAGGCGTTTCTAGATTTATCGGAGAAGTGACGCTTTGCGAGACCAAAACAAAGACGGTGATCCCAGTGTTAACAACTTTTGTAGATCGAAAATTTCTTAGCAGTGATATTACCGAATGTTATTTGAGTGATAGCTATGCAAATAATCTATCTTCACAAGCCCACTACAAGTCATTTAGTTAAAGAAGATAAATAAAACTAATGGTTGAAATAAGTTTGACCTTAGATCTCTGTAATTATGATTTAAAGGGAAATCTTTACACACAGTCCTTCTTGGTAGCCAACAGATATTTAAATAGACTGGGGATTTGTGGAGATTGTGGTAATTTTAACGGTTGAATTCGTAAGTCGATCTAAGCTATACCACCATTGGAAACTTGGACAGCCGTTTCGTCCTGGTATGGAACTCCTTACCAGTACACATCCACGATTCCGCACGCGGGGTCCGAGCACCTAACCTCTAGACCGATGAGTCTCGCGTGGAGGATCGTGGGTGCACATTCCTAGGAATTCTCATACTCGAACGGGTCGGCCGTCCAGGTTTTCAGCGGTGGCCTAGCTTAAATGGACTCATGGATTCAACTGTTAAAATACTTCAACATCTAGAACTTCGAAAAACCATTCAGTGATAAGATAAAACAATGTAGAGACAACTTTCTCCTTAACATATTTTTGTTCTGTTATGACTTTAAGTTGGGTCGTTTTTTTACCCCGTGCTAATTGTTGTGTCCTTGACTGAAGAGATTAGAGAACAGCGTATTTATCGATCGATTACAGTGACACGTAAACACGAACGAACGGCCTACAGTTCTGATTGGTCCTGCTTCCCTGTCCAGCCCAGCCAGTTGAGTCCAGAACACAAGCCACAGCCTCTGAGATATGAATCATTATATTTCAAACATACTTTGTTTATATACCAATCAAGCATACCACATCGTACCATAAAACAGAAAACAACATTTTGTACAATATTCAACAAGTGAACAGATATCGACCAATAGAAATATCCATTTAAAGTCCAAGGACACCATTGGACTTAACATGATAATTATTGGTCTATTCCTCCGCATCCACAACAGTTCATACTACGCCAAGTTTTGAAAATGTGATTTAACTTTTAGGAGGTTTATCTTTATTATTATTTATGGTTATGATAATCACTCAATCATAAGTCTGAAAACGCACTAGATTAAACAGAACCGAACAATACCGTTTTTCATGTATGTTTTGACCATTCCCCTGAAGGCAAACAGAATAGAAGACGATGATGACTAAGTGGGGAAGCATGCTTGATTGCAAGCAGAAGACGAACGTGAGACTTCTAAATTGGTTATCTAAAGGAAAGGCATCTCACATCAGATTATGTCATAACCTCAAAGTGAAACTTAACTGAGCCCTTTCATCTACTAGTATCCATGGACACTAACAAGATCAGCAACAATGTCTGTTGTTTACGAAGCCACCTATTTGAGGGAATTATCTACCGCTACACATCTGTAATTTAATAATAAACATTTGAAGACGATTGTCTATAGATCAGTAACGTTTTAACTGACCATTATAAAATTGGTTCTGTCTTATTTTTCTTGTAGTATGGTGACAGTGTTGAACGGTCTTCCTGATAAGTGATAAAGATTACTTTGTACCTGACTCGACAATATCTGGATCATCGTTATTTTTACTTTTTGTGGTTGCAAATTATGAAAACTTGCTTTCATTGGACGTTATTTTAAGATGTCTTCCGGTCAAAAACCACATTGAAGGCTTTTTTCTCGTATATATTGCCTTTTCCCTATGGAAATCATTGACTCCAGCCCATTTCTTCACTGTGATTTGTTTAGAGCGGTTATTCTTTGCAACCGCATGATCGTACACATAGTTTGTGCAGTCGTATTTTGCTACAGTCAGTCGATTTGTAGAAGAAAAGTTCAGGGTTTTTAGTTCTTATGTTATCATGATTACTGGTTTTTATTAGTGGGTTCAGTAAGCAAGTGCAAATTTCTGAGCTCGAGTTTGCGCCAAACTGTTAGTATGGACAAGTGATTGGGCTAGCCGAATTGAAGTGGGTGAAGAGAAATTAGAACTCGAATTTTGATTTTCGAAAATCAACTCCTTTAGCCACGACTTGGAGTTCCAGTTAGCAGCTAGCGTGAAGGTAAACACGTATATCAAAGTGGAGCACCAAAAGTTAGCTACCGGTAAATTTCCAACCTAAGGTCTTATAAAATAAAAAATGTCTGACTTAGTACTTTTTAAAACTTGATCGGTCCAACTATAACAAACATGCTTATCTATATACAGATTTACTTGTATTGATTATTAGCTGGCTAAAACAATATATAGGTGAAATAGTGGAAATAAAAACGGATTTCACTACATTGACTTGAACGGATGTAATTGAATCAATACATAGTCTAATGCTTGATACCTTCCTAACAGGCTCATACTATGGATTGATATCAACAAAAAACAGACCAGAAATGTGGAATGACAGTTATCTAATGGATTAAAAAACAGATCAGATCGCTATCATTAACTATGACGAAACAATTACTTGGACAATGTCAGTTTAATTACATAAGACTCATTACTTGTTCCACAAAATGTTTGACCTATTTATTTATTTTAGAACCATATTGTAATGAAATAATGGAGCATGCGTAATCAATTGAATGAGAAAATATTTGTTTTGTAAATATGACCTTCAGTATATATGGTATGTAGCGCTTTAAATCATTATTAAAGAAAATTGATCAAGTCCCTACACAATATATCATTCATTACTGCTAACGACATTTCATCTAACAATTATTTCATATTCACTGATTGTCAAGTTATTAATAACTAGTACAAATTTACTGACTAAATGTTAGTGAAAACAGATACGATGAATAAAACTTTTCTAGTAGGTGTAACTGTGTTGTCACAAGTGTGTTAGATACAGTAATATATACATATATATAACTAAAGACCGTAATCACTGCTATTATTATCAACGATTTAGTTAGGAAGACAGTAATAAAATGGTTTTTTTTTCTTTAAAAAATACACAAACAAAAAGATAATCACAATAAAACTGGATGTGATAAAGTAATGAACAAGATATGCACAATAAATATAGGCTTTTCTATAGTATGAAACGTGAACACATAGGATGAGTGAAGAAAGAATAAAAGTAAGAACTTTTAAACCATAATTAAGATCGAATAACTGAGGAATACTGGTGTCAAATCCTACAATTTATCTATATCGTGCAATTGATCAATTTTGTGTGGTGGTTTAGTTTTTTTTTAGTGTTTTCAATTTATTCTTTATTTTACAAACGACTATAAAAGTACCTTACTGTGACTGCAAGGAAGTGAAATTGGTTATGGTTATCTTTTTCTTTACAGAACGCAAAGTTGGTTAAAAGAGGCATACAACAATTGCGACTATAGTCATTCACAAAGTTTTACATTTGCATCAATTAATACAAGTGACTAAACATGATGGTATCGGAAAATAGAGGGAACAGTAGCCAAATTCATCTTTCGACGATATCCTTTGATATGAAGAAACTAATAACTAAATACATTCCATTTAAACTACCATTCAGCCTCACCGACAGCCTTTTGGAAAATATGATCCCGACCATTTATGGACATTATCCCGTCCTTCAGATGAAAACGCCATTTATTTCGAGCTCGATGAATCTGTTGAGAAGGCGGAAAAAAGCGTTTTTCAAGAGATGAATGACATTACAAGGTAGCTCCACATTGAAATACAGCAAAAGTGATTTCAAAATATTTTGGTTTACAGGTTCTAGTAAACCAGAAGTAAGCACTCCGCGATCAGGTGTAGAATATATGAAAGATTGTATCCGCATTAGATAATGTCTAACTACAAACAATTGTGGATGGACAACCTTGCAGTTATGAGAAACACCACATCTAATAACAACATTGAACGTAAGTAGCTTTGCGACTGTAATTTTACAAGGAACCTTATTATTCAGTTTCTTCTCCACTTCTATATGGAATTCGTTACTATTTACAACTTTCATCTAAAAATTATTACACTTAGATGTAATCAACAATTGTAAGTTTATTTACTCCAGCCTTGAGATACCATTTCAGCGTAACGACTAGTGATACTACGCGGTTATTCAAATTAAAGGGAATTGTGGTTATAATTTGAAACAATGGCAACATTGTTATCATATACTTGTTACAGCTGGTCTATGTATTACAGGATATTGCAATATAGTGGCCGAGAAATTTCCCTTTACAAAGAGAAATTTTCTCACTAGTATCACCGAAATTAGCAAGAATTTGAATTTTTACGATTTCTTACATGATAAAATCACTATGGAAATGATTGACAGATCCGAGCGACTTATTTTGAAGTTACTGTGCCTGAATAATTTACAGTTATAGTAATCACAGTTCAGCTAGGTTTACCCAAATATTTGGTAATAAGTTCACAAAGCCTTAATTCACATACCTAATCTCAGTATATTTAGTTCATGAATCTCTACCTCCGACAAAGAAGTTGGAATCCATAGTATAATTTACTCATTTCAGAAGAGTAGTTCTTAAGCAAACGTAAGTTCCCGGTATTTTAATGGTAACTGAAAAATTTGAAACACCAATAAGAATTATCGTTATGTCCAAAAAACGGTGAGGATCCCACAGACGCATATAAGTAAACACTAAGTGTAACTCAACAGCCAATTACAGACTGTAGCCATAGCTCGTCTGGGGACCGATGTTATTTCCAGATTGCTCAAACCAAAGTAGGCGGAGATCTTAAGTGAGGTGTTTCCCTCCTGATTTTAAGACTGATATGGGCAGATATCTAACTTGAAAATATCAAGTTAAGTTATTGGAAGGACCAACCATTATAACTACCTTAGAAGTTCCACCAGGTCTTAGGTCTAATGAAATGTCGACGAGTGTACAAGAATATCGTCGGCCTTTCACAAACTTACATATCCGACATAAATTAGGTTTTTGTCCGCCTATCAACAGGATGCATACATTGCATAAAGTTCACTTGTATTAGTTTACGGGTGTTAAATATGGCCTGCAGAAGTAGAGAACATATGGTGGCACGTAGTTAATCACATATACCGTAGAAGTATTCCTAGCATTTAGTGAAGCTAATGAGTGGATATGAGTATTTTCTTATTGGCCCAATTCACCACCTACGTGAAAAAACAGAAAACTTATCAGTTGTTCTAAATTCCTATCGGAACTCACCTTATCATACTGACAAACAACAACATTATCCGATTCGAACAGCACTTCAGGTTCTTCATCACTCACATCATCCTCTGAATTCAGAGGTTCTTCTTCCTCATCTTCTTCTCCTTCCTCTTCTGCTTTTAGAGGATCTCCTTCAAGGAATTCCATCTGATCTGGAACACCGAGCTCTGATTCAGTTGGGGATGAAAACTGTTTTGTTATACGATTGTTCTTAGGACTGACTGGATTCCTATCTTGTTGTGGACGCTGTTTAAGTTTTTGCTTCACTTGGTCCAATTTTCGCTTAGGATCAACAGTATTTTCGTAGTTTTCTATGGATAGTTCGCTGTTAATGATCAATACAAAATAACTAGAGTTTAGTGATATTTTAAACAAAAGGGTCGTTGGAACTCATACCAATAATCAGGAGAAACCCCAACTACCATACAACATAAAGTAAAAGCTGCAAAATATGAGTAGCGTCACGAAAATGAACATTTTAAATCCAGATCACTTAAAATGTCTGAAACACAAAGAAACAATTAAAACACTGGACGGTCAAATAAATGTCTCACTGAAGGTGAACGCAACGGAACCAAATAAATAATTATACTATAGCAACTAGGATATTACCACTGCGTTTTAGAAGCATCAGTTGGTGAAATGCGTTCGAAACCAACCTGAGGTTAATTAGTGTGGAATATATTCGACCAAACTGTCGTACTTGCAGGTTATGGTAGAAAACTCCAGTTCGACCTCCGAAAATAATACACCAGACGTAAAATACTACGGGTAAAATACAATAAAAATCTGAAACAAGTTTTATTTGATTCAAGGGGCTTCACGTCCGTGCAACAGGCTGTTTAACATACAGGTGTGAAAGCTAAGATACAATATCTCTACCTGACCTTCTAGATCGAATAGGGTGGATATTTCGGGCCTAAAATGTTATGGATAACTAAGTTTTAAAAATCTAGGGTATCTTGAAATACGACTACTAGTATCTTGCTATATAGTACACACTCAGGTAATGGTATAGTTTATTTCATGTCAATAATTAGGCATGAATTGACTTACTTTGGGTTAGCCGGTGTAGTGGTAGTAGTTACTATGTCTGGATCTTCGCCATCATCACAACCCTCAGACTCATCTGTATCTGTATTCTTCCCGTGGTATGGTGAAAGTCTTCGACGTTTGGAAGCAGGTGTTTGTGCAGTGTGAAGTGAATGAGTAGCTAAGGACTGTTGTCCAGGGCGTAAGTGACTTTCTGGGACTGATACGGAAGGAGGGGTCATAGGAGTGGGTGGGGCACTTACAAGAGGTGTGCCCCCACCCATATCTCTTGGAGTATCCATCACATAACGACTAGTGTTGTAGTGAGATAAAACAGACGAGTGTGGGGTGAAACCAGGAGTAGCAGGGACTAAGTCATCATCATCGTCATCATCATCTTCTAGATCTGAACCATGATGGGCATGGGATGCAACACTATCATTGTAATTATGCTGTCCACTATTTTGATTCTTTCGACGCCCAGGTACACTCATCGATTGTGATACAGGAGTATCACAGAACTTTTCATCATCGCTATCATGGACACCATCGACCTGTGTCTGTAACAGTTAAAAGTAATTTATGGGTAAGAATTATATATATATAACAGACCGTAAATAATCGAAACCAAAGTTATGAATCCTAATAACTATCATATCTCACTACAAATGTCCCATCTTTAAAAGAGAAGTGAGTTGAGTAATCTGTAGCACTGATGAAATAAGGCTGCAATGGGTCGTATTGCAAAATATAGAAACCCTGTGCTATGCATTAAACAATACATTATCGAAGCTTTATTCACTGCCCAAACGGCACCAAACAAGTATCGCTGCGATATCACGTTTTACGAATTGTTATCAATGAACACCAGATAAATTTGCTTAGGAAAATACGGTTTATGCAAATAAAGGAGTGAAGATATAATCATTATTAAAGCATGAAACAATAAAAGGAAATGGCACATTATATTTACTCTTTATCGGTGGTCAAAATGAGTCCCTAGAAGTTGGTTTCAACTCCACTGAGCTCAAGAAATTAATCCCAAACAAGTGGAAATCTCTACTATTTGTACATATCCCAGTAAATAACAGTCTACACAAAAGAAAGTTACAACTAGAAACAAAACCTTGAAAAATATTTTAAAGAGAGAAATGCTTAATTTGATAGGAATTTACTAGAAACATAACTTTATGTGTTAAATGTCATTACACGAGTAAAAACAAAAACACGTCTCTAGGGTTTACTAACCGCTAAATGATGCATTCAAAAAGTTTTAGGAACATTACTTCCATAAAAACCACTGCTATTTCAAAAATATCTAAAACCATAAAATAACAAGATGTTTTTCGCTTAATTATAGAACGAACTAATTCTAAGTAATAACTAGAGGTAACGTTTCCATAAATATAGACCTCTCCGAGTTGAGGACGTTAGACGACTCTGTGTTTGATCATCGTTGTCTCCGAAGGATTGCTGACATCCAGTGGCAACACCATATTAGTAATGCAGAGGTCCGGCATCGTGTGTTCGGGCACAGAGACGATAATGCAATCGGTGTCACCATCTTAAAACACCGACTTCGGTGGCCTGGATATGTTCTACGAATGTCGTCTCAGAGAATTCCACGTGCATTATTTGACGACGCTGGGACTGGTTTGAAAAAGCAGACGTGGTCAGTGTATGACATGGTGTCGTGGTATGAAAGAAAGCTGCAAAGGGCTGGCTTCTGTTGGACCTTCACGACTCCATGGCTGGGGTCCGAGAGATGGTGCTACACAGTGGCTAGAGACGTTATCAGATATGGCTCAGAATGGAAGCCAGTGGCGATCCTGCTGTAACCTTCTTTTACTTTCTTCGTGAAAAGTGGTTGTATCTTCCTTAACTGAAAGATTTCTTCTGATTGTACCTTTCCGTTCCCTCATTATTACCATTATTATTATTACACTACCTTACACCAATCTCTTCGTTATTGTTCTCTTTTTCCACGCTCCTTACCTTTTTTCTTTTTCCTTCTCTTTAAATTCTCAATGTTTTGTGTGGCGCATATATATTTGGCGCACTCTCGTACCAATATTTATGTGTTCAAATAATAATAATAGTAATAATAATAACAATAATAATAAAGGTAACGTATTAAAGTGTATCAGCTAAACAAAAAAGGTGGCTTAGTAAACTATAACTAATATTCTTTGGACTCAACTGAAAAATATTGAAAAACTCACTTGTTTAAACTGCCCAATGTCTGAAACAGTAAAAGGTTTGGAATCAGAAGCCATGGAATTGTTGGTTGCCACACTTGGGTTACCTATATACTGAGGAACAGCCAGATGAACACCAGGTTGACGGACTGCTGTTAACGGCTGAGGGACGAGATAAGTCTGTTGGCCGATTTGTACAAGATGTCCTGTAAATGATACATGAAGAATATCAATCGAATTTATTTTGATTATCATATGTAAAATATTAAATATATAACTTTAGAAAACTTAAGATGAGTACACAAATCTACTAACCTGTAAGACCTGAAGGCAGTGTGGCGAGCTGAGGTGTTGTAACTTGTTGAACGTTAGTAGTTGCAGTAGGTCTTGATTGAGCTCCACTTGGATTGGAAGTAAGCACAGCGGGAAGAACGCTGGTTGTTTGAGGTTGCTTTTGTGTTTGCGACTGAGTTGGAAGTATAACTGAGGCCAAACACGGAGTAGCTTGTACTGGCTCACGAGATCGCATTTGAGTGGGGACTGAGACAGAAGCCCGTGCTGCAGGTAGTCGCAAACCTGAAAGCGTACCAGGAAGCGCCATGCTTGCTGTTGTCTGATCTGACCCAGTTCGGATGATTGTATTCAACTGCCTTATTGGTAAACCTACGGAGGGATTTCCAGAACTGACGACATTTGGATGGATCTGAAGTTTTAATTGATGAAAAATAGTGATAGTTTGTTGATATGTGCAACATGAAAATCAAAACATGTATAACGATAGTGAATCCCGAGACAGATTTAATGCACCCTTCAAGTTTATCAGATATTTCAAAAGACCGTAGAATGGTAAATTCATTGCCAATTTATAACAATGATGTCAATATCCCAATCAAAAGACTCGGATTTTAACAAATAGGTCACTGATTCGAATTCCTCTCCACCTACTCTGGTTTGAGTAATAGGATAGTGTCCCCGACTGCCACAGAGTGTGATTTAAAGTGGAACATACACAATTATACAGGGAATTGAGTCACTGGATTGTTACACTGGCTATGCGAACCATGCATACGTACCAAAACATGTAATATTGGCTTTGAACTGAGGAATCAATACTCTTGTGCAGACTAAGTTAACTGCAAAAAGAATTATGAGCATCTTATACGTTTAACAGATGAGTTGAAACTGTGAGGAATATGACGAGAAATCAAAATAAAATCTAGACAACGAATAATGGTTTAGTTGAGAATGTCAAGGTCGAAGTTAAAAATTGGTGCACCTTGAAGGACCACAAATCGATCTTGCACAACTATTCCATTCTCAGTATTATGACGAAACTCGCGACGTTACATGGTGTAAATGGGGTGCATAATTAGTTACAGACAAGTATTTTTATGACAAAGCCACATCAAGAATAAGCATTTAAAAACTTGGAACCCAATATAATAGCCATATATATATATATATATATATATGAATACATATAGTACCATGGTCGCCCAATACAGCTGTCAAAGTTATCATATTTTACGCAACTTAAACACTTTTATTACCTGAACTTGAGAACGTTGCAGAAGGTTCAAATATTGTGCAGCACTTCCGCCGACGGGCTCTGGGCTAAAGACGTGGGTCTCAGCAAGTTTGGACTTCCATAACTAAATAATAGTGAGCCGTGAAACATGTAAAACCTTTTTGAGTTCTTCAAGTATCTGGATATCACCACCATCCTCTACAAACTCATCTTTAACACCACTTATAACATCCTCAATCACATCGTCGTAAAACTTGGCCTGAAAATTGAGAGCGGTAACAAATGAAAGCACAAGATAAGCAAACAGATGATCATTCAGAACTAACCACGCAGGTCATTACGACTGTATACAGTTTATTCGAGCGTTTGCGCTAGTTACAAAGCAATCGCGAACAACTTCCCAGGACAGAATTATCAGGATCTAAAGCACAACCGACAGTATTTAAAAGTGCAGCTATTATAACATACTTCCACGGGAGAGTATAGAGCTGCGTGTGCACGGGAAACTGGATGAGAACAAGATAATGAGACAACGACTAAATAAAGACATAAGATGCACCTACATCAAATGAAGTAGATCTACAGTAACTAGCAACAGAGTAAATGGTGAGACTAAGACAATCGGGTAATAACGACTAGAAGTAATGTCATAAGGATTTGAACTGACAACACGAATCCACACAGCCCGTGCACCGTCACGTCTAAATCAACCGCAGCAATTTAACGCCCAATTTTTTAAATGTTTGCAACGTGGTATCAGCCAGCTGATTTCTGAATGACTGATTCTCAATGTTGACAGCAAGTCCCAGAGTTTTGACTGCTCTAAGCAAACATTACCAATCCATCAAGCTGCGAGAGTCTTAATGATGGACAGGTTATCATCTTTTTTTCAGTTCTTGTCTGCGTAAGTATCTTCCTTTTATTTCATTTTTATATTCATGTATTTTTACCCCAAGTCCAATGGCCAGTCTAAGGGGACATTTTACATTCTTACCACAGACTAGTAGATTTTCACCGCAACCACGATCAACTTTTTCTTGTAAAGATGATGACGATAATGAGGTCAATGAGGTCAGTGAGGCTCTCATCAATGTAGAAGACTTACATAAATATTTGCTTTTGCGATTTGTTTACCACTACGCCTGTCTAATTTATGTGTGTTTATTTCATATGATTCATACATGCGGTGACGCCCACTGATATTCCATATGAATAAGAACTGGGAAGCTTTAGTTTTGTAGCGGTCAATAACTTCCCAAAATAAAGTTGTAAAACAATCTATGTGGATGCTGACCTCATTAGTTTTAATAGGTACCAAAAGCTGAAGATGCTAGGTCAATCACTCACATCAAATCTCCACACAACCATCCGTGAAATTGTGGCGTGTATATGACCTAATAATTCCTTTGTAATTGATGACTGCTTGATTTCGAATTCCAAATATAACACATGATTAACCTGTTCTATTTCTGGGATTCCTCGTTCACATTAAAATTCAAGTACTACTAACTATTACACTGGCGCCGCGATGCAGCCTGTGATGGAACAGTTGGACATACATGCAGACTCTGATGCTTTTGAGGATTACATGAAAAGGTTAGAAATATGGGCTATGACCAAAGAAGATGTAACGGAAAGAGAACAGTGAAAATCCCTCTGCAGCTTCTTTGTTGAACAGTATTTTCATTTATTTGTTCCTTCTCCCTTTTGTGTATTCCAACCTTTGTTTCGATCTCGTTTAACCATGTCTTTTGTTCTTCAGTCTTTCCCGTTTGAGCCTTTATTATGTGATTTTGATTAAAGACTTATGTTTTTTACCTAATTTTCTATTGCATGTTGCCGGACCATTGACAGTAAGGTTGTGTTTGACTAAGCTCAAGGTCACGGCGTGGTTCAGTTTGTGACTGTTAACCTTCTGACTGTCTGCTTGGGAGAATTGCTGCAATCCCTGCATATAGATATTTGATCCCATCTTATTGGGAATATTTGTATTGATTCTCAGGTATCAAACCCTTTAGTATTAACTGTATCTTTCATTGTTTAGCGCGCTACTTTGCGTTAGAGAAACTTCTGACTGTATATCACAGGCTGTACCGTTAGAGGTATTTTGTATTTTTGATGTAATTTGTCCTGTTTTCTTAATTAGAACCGTTTATATTGAGCACAGAATTTGTGTTTTGGTATAATATAATACGAGTATCTCAAAAACGCGTTGTCAGCTATACAGAGGAACTTGGTCTGGTCTAATCGAATAAATTTTGGGTTCGTCAGTCCGTTGTTCCAACCGAATATTGGCTGTTCGGCCGTTATAGAAGATGTTGACGATGCTAAAATTGTAGCTCATTCCTTTACATTCATCGAGAAAGAAGCATATAGCTTAATAAAGACTTTGACATTCCCAAACAAGCCGATTTCACTCCCCTACGCATCTCCAAGGAACTACTGCTAGACTATGTAAATTATACAAGTTCGGACTGCGGTAAAGGGGTATAGCGGTAAACAAATCCCCAAAATAAATAGCTCTGTAAGTTTTTGACATTGGATGCTCACCACATCAGTTTTGATGGACTCATCTAGCTGAGGGCGCTTGGCCATGCATCCGCACCAGATCACGAGTGGGAACGCCGTGCTCAACAACCCCTGCAATCGCTAGCCAGATTAGATCAGACGATCCTCGATATATTGGTAGCCTATCAAATATATCTTTTGATTTCACTTAATGGGTACGCTTCATAATAGGTGTTACTGGTCAAGGCGTTGTCAAACTCCGAATACCTGTAACATCTTCGGGGGAAAATTTTCATAAAATGATTCGTCGGAACATTATGAATTCCACTATTTTACTGCTTTGTTCCAGTCCAATACCCAATCAACGTAATTCAGATAACAAATGACTGAGAAGTTGCGAATCAGGTCACGAAGACGAGCATAAGTTTGATAACTGCTTGTTCTATGGCAAGATCCATTCATGCAATTCGTGTGTATTTTTTAATTTTAAATGCTTTAAATGTGGTGAGACTGAACACATTCAGTCAGTTTGTAAAACTACGGTTCATTTTGCTGCAATTTTGCTAAGTTGAGTGTTTGTAATGATCACATATCTTCATCCATGACTTTGAAAATCGGTATAAAGTCACATATCAGTCCAGAGTTGAATGGAACTCAGGACCTTTGTGAGACAAAAATTTTTTAATCGATCAACTTCTTATCAGATTTATCAAATTATTGTACCAGATATGGTTTGCCTTAATGATTCACATATTTCTGATTGGACTTCTCATAAATCTGAGCAAAATATGTTGAATGAATCTAATCATGATCGAAAACCTGATGCTATTTTGATAGATGCTGAATTTTATATTGATCCCCCATTTTCAATAAATTTGAGGAAGGTCATCCAGAAAAATCAGATTCTGATGTGATATCAAATGTCATCTGTCTTCACAATGGATTTATCTCTAGTGATATCTCTAATGAATGTGACAAATGTGATCCGAATGAGCCGAAATCTAGTCACATTCTTGTATCAGATGTTGAATATTCTCACAACCAATGAATGTTGAGTAGAATCCCTAGTCAGTGGTATGATGAATCAGAGGAAATAGCAAGTTTTCCCGAAGTAGTCAGAGAACTAGTTTCCCCAGATATGGAGTTTGCACAAGCAGAAAATCTAAATCAAATCGAAGACTATCTTAATGGGTATGAGGCAGATGCATATTTTCCATTTGATTGTTTTGCAGATGAATGAAACCTAGACGAATCACATATGTTAATCGTACGTATCAATGCATATTTATTAGCGTATTCTAATATGAAAAGCAAAAGGGATATATATCGTATTTTCCTGAAAGTCAAATTCACAAGATGGAATGCCTCAAATTATATGCCAGTGTGTATCCCTAATTACTCACATGTAGTAATCGAAGTGTGAGATATAATAACATAGTGCAATTAGGGAACGCCAAACTGGCCATAAGATCGCGACGTAAGGACCCAACATTATTTCATGGGGTAGGATAGTCTTGAAAAGTCGATGATGGTTTCAGTACACAACCGACATGGCGCTTGTTTAAAATTCCAAGACCCAGGTCAGTTCGTTCCAATTCCAATTATTAATTCTAATACTAATGACCACATTCTGGATAGTGAAGAGTCCATATCCGATACAATGTCGGACAGGCATAGGATTAAATTAAGGAGAAGACGTACAATCGGGTACAGAAAATTAGACTTCAATTTAAGCTATGGTGGATGTGGTGTTTGTATGATCTAATGATTCCTTTGTAATTGATGACTGTTTGATTTCAAACTCCAAATATAATATGCTCGTTCGTGCATATCTAGGATTTCTTGATTAAATTGTGTTATTTCTGGGATTCTTAGTTTGTACTATAGTTCAAATAATCCTAATTATCACCGAAATACATCAGTTACTTTTATTACCTAGTTTTTGCCTTATGTTTCAGTGCTTTAGCATACCCACTAAATAATCTACCACTCAATCATTGTCGACTTTTCCATAGATATCCGCATACCGGTGTTGCCATATTCTGCAACATCTGAATTCTCGGGTTTTATTGCGACAAAAACTTTCATTCAAGTTAGCCGGTGTTCTGTTCCTTCAGATTTTCGAAGGATTAAAACAAGCAAGAGCTGTCTGCTAAATTTTAAAAGCCCGTCCCCAAATAGTGACAGTCCATGGTTTTCACTCGACAAAAGATTCGACGTGCTGAGAGAAAAATACTCTTTTTATGGTGTTTTTGCATATCACTTTGAAAATGCGTGCTCAGTAGGTTTGAAACCACTTGAATTTACACTATATCACCTTCGACTATTCCCTCACTTTTTGTAGCTTGCTGCCCCATGTATTCCTTCCTTTAAGTTACAAAGACGGTTACGCGTTCCGCTTGCATAAGGTTTTCGCATAACCAAGATATTGTTGGCTGATTTAATTTTGGTTTCGCCTGTAAACCGACATGCATCGTGTAAAACAATGTTGTTTGGGAATACATTGTTGTTATTATGTTATCACCCAGCTATAGTTGTTACGTTACTTTCCTCTTAGAACCGACACCCATGGGAACATTTGTTTGGTCAATCCATCAAAAAACATCAGTTCGGTTCCGCAGCTTAATGGAGAATAAATAAATTGTTCAGTATTTGACCTCCATATTTTTGCCATCAGTGGCGTTGCCTGACCAATGAATACTCAGAGATAATCTTTCGATGTCGTATACTTTACTTGCTTGTTATCTTAACTCGGCAGCATTCCTTTTCTTTTCGCAGACTATCGAACAGGACTTGTTGCACGTGTCCTCCATGTGGAAATCAGAGATAGCAAGAGAATGAAGGACACGAATGTGAAAAAAATATCTGAGGAAGTGCTGCTTTAAAGCACGACAATAGACAAGACGGATATTTCGTCTCATGTTGTTGGGAATGCTATTATTGATTTTAAGGTACCGAACACTCATTTATTAATCATTCCTTTATTTGTTTAGCGCGTCTTTTGTACTATAGAATGGTTTCACTGTACAGAACAGGATGTACCGTTTGAGGCATTTTATACTTGTGGAATAATTTTTTTCTTTCTTACATTAGAACTGACTACACTGAGCACAGAGTTTGTTTTTTGATAAAAGTTAATGTGAGAGACTCAAAAAGGCTTTGTACGCTACGTGGAAGAACGTAGTTTTGACCTAATCAAATAAACTAGAGTTCATTAGCT